AGTCCCTATACAATCTGTACATAATTCGTTGTTTAGGATCAAAACTGTCGACTACCGGATGAGCAGTCATCATAGCCTCGCTCGTGTAGATCACAACCTGAACTTGCGATTTATGAGTTTGAAGCTTGGTCTGTAGAAGGTGTACGGTTTACCTCAAAGTTTGGATAACCAACAACATCAAGGAAATACTCGAGAGCTGGTCGCTTGGCAAATCTACAAGCAAACAGGGATGTAGAGAAGGTAAACACAGTAAGAAACTCGCGAATGAGTAAATCACAAAATAACTGTAGCATGGTGAGAGAAAAATAAGTGAGTAAGCATACCTACCTATATCCAGTTTTGTAGGTCCAGTCGGGATGTACCAGAACATTCTTCATCTCGATAACCAAAGTGTATCTTGGTTGGATGTAAGGATGAGGAAGTGGATCAGGAAGAAGCTGCTCTCTAGCTGGCTCAACCACGAACTGGAATAATATAAGAATGCAAATTACTCGGATACCGTACGTTCAAAAATAACCCACATCTCTCCATAACCTAAAGCTATGGGCAATGCGATAGAAAGGTGCGAAAAATGAGCCAGTAAACTCGTCTGGAATAACATTTCCTGCCTGGTCTCGCTTGCTGCGACCTGAAAGCGAGTTGCTAGAAAATGAAATATAATCAAAGAATTCACTAGCAGCCCTCACCATAGTATAAGCAGAACGCAACAAGACCAGCAACGCTGCTTCCGAATAATATGATTCCACCTATTCGAGTGTTGCGCTCTAGGCGTTTACGACGCTTCTCCTTTTCGGCATCTTCGTCGAATGTGTGCTAAAAAAGTAATATGGTTGGGCCTGCAAAAAACCAAAGATAACTCTCGCATTACTGTGACATTACTTCAACTGTGACTATCCAAGTGGAGCAGAAAACGGGTTGTCAAGCCTTTTTAGCTCTCACAATAATTGAAAATAACCATGTGGGAATGTACAAAAAACTACACTGACGGTTGCCTCGAAAGGTAAATCAGTAACTCAAACTATAGCTCAATACTGCGCTACAAGCTAGGAAGTTGCGCATAACGCGGATGGCGCACGCGGGAATCATGACTCACTACTTTTTCATTAAACGAGAACTTTTTTCTTACGAAAATACGCAGGATTGCACAAAAATGGTCTCTTTCAATAAAATGTTATTCACGAAATGCGCGAAACTTCAAATTCCAGCAAAACTTTGAGAAACCTGCCAACTCGAAAATGGTGGAGTTTCACCACGAGGAAATTGAGGAAGTTCAGAAAGAGACATACTTGGAAAATGAAATAAAAATAAAAACAAGCTTAAACTCACTTCGTCACCAGCTCCTTTGGGTCCATCAGAGCCAGAAACGCTCTTTTTCTCTTCCTCTAAGGCTTCCTTCAGCAACCTCAACTCTTCAATTGCCGAAAGCCTCTCAGCCTCCTCCTGCTGCTCTTTGCTTGTCTAAAAGTTTGTAGAGATCCATTACATGTTTATAATCGGCTGATAGCAGAAAAAAGTAGCAAGGATCGAGAGAAGCATAAAGTACAAGAATATCAAAGTATTGTATGAAAATTTGCCATACATGGCAATTAACCCCACCTCAGGTTTGACTTCCTCCACAGGTTTCGACGTCGTATTCGGAGGAGATTCAGATTTAGCCTTTTTAAGTGCATCCTCTTTATCTTTCAATGGATCTTCCTGTGCAATAGAGAAATACTTCAAATTATCCGCAGCCAAGGGCCTTGTTCTCTGAAAAGTGTTGCCTTTTTTGAACGAATCAAAAAAAGATAGAAAAGACTGAATATGAAGAGCTCACCGTCCTTGCCGGGTCAGCAAAGGGACTGGCAACTCGATGATCGGACAGGAGTGATTTGAACGGCTTCTCGTTAGAATAGGTTCGTATGATTGCAGCGTTACACCATCGTCTCGATACTTGTTTAGGAAGAGTATCCAAGATGAGCCGCAACGCCATGATATGATAAACGGCGGCTAAAATATATAGGATCCGTAATATTCACGAAGCGAGAGTTCAAAACGAAAAAGGTGATTGCGGGATTGTGTCACGAGTACATTGACTAAATACCCAAACACAAAACTTGCAAATGAGTGGAGTACGATGATGAAAACTTGAAAAAATTCATGAAATTTTGAAAAGTACACAGCAGTAGCTTTGAGGCAACCAATAACGGCCTGCTCTAAATGAAAGAAAAAAGAAACAGATAGAATTGAAAAAAATAAAATAAACAATTGGTCACTGTCCAAAAACTGACTGATAACCTAAGAACTCGTAAAGCTATATAAAGGCGAGAATAATGAAGCATATCGAGACAAACTCTATATTTTCAACCTAGAAAATTTCACTGGGCGTTTTTTGATTCCTCCGACTTCTGTCCTTTCTTTTGTTACTTGAGCGCAATAAAAACTCAATAAAATCGATCTGAAAGAAATATGATGGAGAAAACAATCGTACTCCAGAACAACCAGTTCAGAGAAAATATAAAAACAAAACAAAAATGTGACTTTGTGAGCTGATCTTCATTACAGCTCTCTAGGTATTCAAGTAAAGAAAAGAAACTCAGAGGAAAATCAAATGAACAACCACAAAGACAGTAACAATGGTAAAATGACAGCGATAAGTAGAAAACTGATAACAGCTTATAAAAACCGACCACGAGGCGAGGTTAACCTCATTTGAAATGCTGAGTTCACCGGTCTCGACCACTGCCAGAAATCTCCCCGAACGATCCTCCAACTCGGAATTTGCCACTCCAACGGCAGCAAGCGGCAAGAAAATCTTGGCCTCCAGCGGAAGCAATCCAACTGCGAGCACCGATGGAAAAGTTCTGTGCAGAATTTGTTTGGATGATAGCCAAGAGCAGTCGAAGTTGATTTGCCCGTGCAATTGTAAGGGTACAGTAGCTCGGACGCACTCTGCATGTTTGGAGAAGTGGGTTGAAGTCACACACAACACAAACTGTCAGATTTGTGGCGCGGACTATGAACTGGAATCTT